TAGAAGAAAGCAGCATCGCAAAGACAACAAACGTCGCAAGTGGGAGGCCATGAAGAAGACCCGTCTTGTTGAGAAGGGGCAAAAGAAGCTTCCGCGTGGTGAGTTGTCCATGGTTGTGATGATGCGTGACATGGTTGAGTTCTACACCACACAGGCCCAGACCAATAAAGGCAAGGTAGCAAAACGCTTTGAGGCACTGGCCGTCGAGGTGATGAAGGAGCTCGAAAGTTTTGAACAACCACAATGCAGACTGACCCAACCTGTTTGACTGCAAGCACTGCGAAGCAGCGTCCAAGGCAGACTGGCCTCAAAGGCCGTGGCATGCTCATTGAGTTGTGCACCGAGCCGGACTCCAACCTAGGTGTTGTTGGTGAGAGGTTGAATGTCAAGGTCGCACGTTGTACCAAGGAGGTGAACAATTTAGAATATGAAAGCACGACATCACACCTGAAGAACTTCATTTGTGAACACCCAGGTATTGATTTGTGGGCAAGCCTCCGTGGAGCCAGTGGCAGTACCTCAATGCACACCGCTATGGGGCAGAGTTCAGAAAGAAATTTGCCAAGTCGAGAGATTTGTCGTTGAAGCTGCTTGATCGCTTTTGCGAGCTTGCTAGATGTGTTGTTGAGCATGGTGGAGATGTTCATTTTGAATGGCCTAGACATGCATTGGGTTGGAAGCAGGCTGCATTGTGCCAGCTCATTCGAGACATTGGCATGACAGTGGTGAACTTTGATGGTTGTGCGGTTGGACTTGTTGATCGGCAGGGCACGCCGTTCCGTAAGAAATGGCGAGTGGCGACTACAAATGAGAACCTCGCAAAGAACCTGAACGAGTGTCGTTGCAAGCATGGTACTGATTTTAAACATGCACCCATCACAGGTTCCAATACAAACACAACTGCAAGATACCCAGAGATCATGTGTGAGATTGTCTTCTCTTCGTTGTTTCCTGACCTTGTTTTCAAGGAGGTGCCCGCCATGCCCGTTTGTGAGGCGGCTGTTTGCGTGGTTGCACAGGAGCATTTTGAGAAGGAGCCAAAGGAACAGCTCTACCGTGGACCGTTGGTCATTGAAACCGTTGATACCTTTGCAACTCCCGCCGAGCTTGAAGATGACCTCGCTCCCGCGGATGACGAAGCTGAACTAGCAGAGTCGAGAGATGCTAGGTTGAAGCGTGAGGCAAAGAGCCTGGACCACATCACGACCCACGCAAGGAAGAACCCGTTTTGTGAACATTGCGTGCGTGGTCGAATGTTGAAAAGGTACGCTCACGGGGTTCGGCCTGAGCCGAGCGACGAAGCGTACGAGCGCTCGGTTGCGTTTGGCCGTGTGCTCGAAGCCGACCATATGTTTCCGTCGGGGGAAAGCGTGAGCAATGCTGGAGAGAAGGTGGCACTGGTGATCGTGGATCTCTTCTCCGGTCTAAGCATGGCCTATCCGGCCAGAGACAGAACGGAAGAGTCCTGTTACAACTCACTTAAACACTTCGGTGGCCATAGGCTGAACGGGGACACTGGTGTCATTTTTAAATCAGATGCTGCAGGTGAGTTGACAGGAGCGGCATCCAGATTGTGCTGGACAGTGTCTCCGAGCACCCCCAGGGATTGGCCTCACGCAGCGCACGTCGAGCGTGAAGTGCGTGCGTTGAAAGAGTTGTGCAGACCCGCACATCTCCAGGCCGGCTTCAGCAAGAAGATGTGGCCGATCTCTGTTGTTTACACCGCAAAAGCTCGTGCCTTTTGGTCGCCTTGTGTGATTCGTAAGCATGAGCGTGGGACGGAGATTGAGGAGCTCAAGACTGGTAAGACCCGTTGGGAGGTGTGCACAGGTGAGCCCTTCCTTGGTGTGAAGTACCCTCTTGGTGCGCTTGTTTTCTACAGGGCCAAGAGCGATGGAATGGCCGCTCCAACTACAAGACCAGGTTTGTTTGCAGGTTGGCGTGTTGACTCTGGCTTGCGATACCGCAACGTGGTACAAGTTGTTGACTATGAAGCTGTCCGCGCAAGTGCGCAGTTGCATTGGAGTCCCAAGGACCTGCGTGAGAAGGAGGTGTTTTTCCCTCCTGTTGAACACATTGAGTTTCCATTGTCCAACGCAGCGATGAAGGCGTTGAAGGACATGTCTGACCCTGAAGTTGAGGTGAAGAAGAAGATCTATGACAGATCTCTTGAATCGGGAGTGCTCCCGTATGACATTGACATTGATGCTTTTCCGGAAGACACCCCAGTTGCACCCCCACGTCATGCATACATTACTTTTTCACGTTTGTTGGAGCATGGTTTTACGAAGGGTTGCCCAGGGTGTGATGGTGGCCACTACCGCCACAACAAGGCATGTCGCGAGCGATTTGATGCCATCTTCCCTAGAGAAGCTGCAGCGCCACCCACACCGGCGCCAGATGTCGGAGCACCGAAAACACCTGGACCGCTTCCAATGCCAAAGAGTTCAGCAAAAGCTTCTTCATCCTCGTCCACAGGAGCAGCAGAAAAGGAGCATTGGGTTGAGCCGGAGCCAACCGAGGGTCCGGAGTACTCTCCTGATGAACTTCCCGAGGGATATGTCCCACCGGAAGATGTTGCAGCCGGGGTCTACGCCCTAGTGACAAGACAGCTTACCCGGAACGAAGTGTTGTCCCGACCAGATGCACTACAAGCGATCCGCAAGGAGTTCGATGGTGTTGGCTCCATGGGAACATGGGAGCTTGAGTCGGTTGATGAGGAGTTCCGCGTGAAGGAGGCTGCATTGCAGAATGGAGAAACCATCCACATTGCAGACTTGCTTGCCATTTGCAGCGAGAAGCATGTTGAGTTGGCCCCAGAGCTGCGCGCTCTGAAGGGTCGTGTATGTTACCGTGGCGATTCTGCAAAGACGGCTGAAGGGAAGCTGGCGCTCTACCAGACGCTAGCTGCGTCTCCTGCTTCAATCGTCAGGACCAAGTCAGTGGCATGAGCCTTTCTGGGAGGCGTTGGGTAAAAAGGTGTTGATTGATGACATTGGACCGTTGGGTCGCTTTCTTGGTCGACACCACTCCACTGTCGAAGTTGATAACACAGAGTTCTTTGGCTTTGACATGCGTGCATACGCCGAGGCTACTGTTCAAGAGTATTTGAGGGTTGCAAACAGCCCAAAGATGAAAGTCGTTGCATCACCATTTCTCAGCAAGGGGTTCGTTGGAGCAGATGAGCGGGGTGCTCTGGCAGCTTCTGCCAGTAGCATTTTGATGAGACTCATGTGGTTGGCACGCCTTGCTCGTCCCGACCTGCTGAGAGTTGTGACTTGGTTGGCGACCATGGTACAGTCCTGGACGCAAGCTTGCGATGCGTACTTGTACCGTGCCATGTGCTACCTCGAGTGCACCAAGAACGCTATGTTGCTTGGGCATGTGCGTGATGCGCCGCAGCATGTGTTTGTTGAACTTTTCGCAGACGCAGACTACTGCGGAGATGATGAACACACCCACAGTACCACTGGTGGATGGCTGAAGTTGTCTGGCCCGCGGACGTCGTTTCCGTTGGCATGGCTGTCAAAGAAACAGACGGCTACGTGCCGAAGCACGACGGAGGCAGAAACCGTCGCACTGTCGTACGTGCTCTTTGAAGAGGGTTTGCCGTTGGTTGAGTTGTATTCCGCAATGCTTGGACGTCCTGTGCTGTTGAGGCTTCGCGAGGACAACACTGCATGCGCGAAGGTCGTAACAGCTGGCTACTCAAAGAAGCTGAGGCATCTCAAACGCGTACATGGCGTGAGTTTGGCTTCAGTGAAAGAACAGTTGGACCGCGACGACGTGGAACTGAGCCTTGTCGGAACAAGCGACCAGAAAGCTGATGCTTTCACAAAAGCAGTCGAGCCTGCGCTATGGCCCAAAACCCTCCAAAACCTTGGAGTGCACTTCGATGGTTACACCATCAAACACACATCAGGCACTGGCCTGAAATTGGACAAGCAAATGGCTTTGCAGCCAGATGCACCAACGACAGATGTAGCGACAGGACCTCAGGGACACGACAGGCCCTACCCAGCCAGGGTACAAGAAACGGCAGAAACACAAGCCGAAGAGAATACCTCCATACAGTGTGCCACAGAGCCTTTCTGATACAGCTGGATAGCCCGGGATTCAGAACTGATCCCAAGCCGTCGAGCAGCTCAGGAGTCAGAGGGGGGGAAGAAATCCCTCAGCTGAAACCACCTCCAGAAGTAGATGTACTGAGCTTTGAATGAGAGGCTTGCATGCTTGCATGTATAGTTTGGTAAAGATGGATCTAAAGTTGAATCTAAAGCATTTTTGGACATGGTCACTGACGTAGTCCTATGCTGTGAAATCGTGAACTGTAAACAGTTACATGGCCAGAAATGGCAGACGGCCACTCGTACTGTGCCAACGATTTGGCTCAAGACTTGGAAAAGGTGCAAGGGTTGCTTGAATGCCGATCGTCGTATCGTCCGCTGCCTTTGCATAGGGAAAGCCAGGTTTCAGAGTTTCAACTACATGCCGAATCTTCTATCACCGAACATGGCGTTTCAAACGGGCCCTCCCGAACGAGGTCCACAGTAAACTCCGGTCTTCCGGAGTGAAACCGTCAACAACTCGGCCGGTTTTTTGCTACGGTACACTCATGCCTCGTGTCAAGGCAATCCCATGAAACACTCATCTCTTCCAGGGGGTCATTGAGTAAGTCAAAATTTATCCAGATGAGCAGTCAAAAGGCACTATATATTCTCTCCAAAAGACATGTCGCTTCCAGTACATTCAGTGTTTCACTTCAGTGACGCTTCGAAGCGCCACGCTTCGCTCACAAACATGAGACCACTGAGACCACCTTCCACCTCCTTCCACCCAACAAAAAATGCTGTTGAAATGCCCTTTGTTATCTTTGTTCCTGGTAGTAATGCCAGGAGCTAGTAGCGTTCTTGTGACTACTGGATGCCAGGAGCCTACTAGTAGCTTCTTAACACGAGATGGTTCCAGTCTTCGGGATCTCCGGCCCCCCCCTCCGTGAGGTCGCCCCTGCGCGCCTGGCGGACGGCAGCACCGTCGACCTGTGGAGCTGGAGAAGCGTCAGCTTCGAGAAGCCCGAGCGCTACGGCCGGGGGGGCGGGCCAGTTCGGACGGCCGGGGAAGGGGGGGAGCCAGGGTGGGAGCAAAAGAAGCGGTTGTGTGAAGGGGGATTCTTTCCTGTGTGCTTTAAGGTCCGACTCCTACTATGTGACAATTCCTTGGAAGATCAGACGTGCCCAACCAGAACATGGGCATGTGTTCCCTTGCTTTTTGATTTTGCCGGTTCATGGAGGGAAAACTGAACCGAACAAACATCGAAGCATTCTATATATATAATCTTGGCATCAGCGTTTGGACATGTTCCGATTCCAAAGAATATATATATGATTATATGATTATATATATCTATGAAGTATCCCAAACTGCGGGGAGTCCCAGAAAGCCAGCACACCGGAGCACTTCCTTTGTTGTTTCTCTCACTGTCCAAGCCCTCCGGCCACGTGAGCCAGGCCGCCGTGGCCGCTGGATGAGCTTCCCCAGTGATCGGCCAGCATCGCCCGAGGCGTTGGACGCACGCTTCCGGTACCTGTGCCACTTGGCGTGACGGGCGGACAGACGTTGCGAAGTGGTGGGACGTGGGTGACGATCTGAGATGGCCTTCGGGTTTATGTTTGGTTTGAGGGTGTTCTGGGTCACCACAGAGTTATATACACATATTACAGAAGGATGGCACGACTCAGAAGAATGCTCGGAATTAGTGCTGCGTTGTTCTCCGTGATCAAAGCAGTCCAGGCCAAAACAGTAAACTCACCGCTGGAATCAATAATCCGGTCCACCTATTTAAAAAAACACGCCGGCCCCCCCCTAATAAGGAAACCTCGGTCGCCTTTTTTAAATAGGGGGTCCCTGAAATCGGGGGGTTCATAATAGGGTCACCTGAGAAGGGCTTCAAAACCAAAAAGTCGCCCAGTAAAGTTTTATATAAAATCCTTCATTAAACTCATATCAAAAATTCAGTAAACCTCCAGATCGAATGGTCTTTTTCCTTCTCCCCTACAAAAACCTTTCTTAGAATAGTGATTCTTCATTAGACTAACAACTAAAGCTTTCGAAAGGTGATGTCGCTGTGCCACGCGGTTTTGCGTGACCTCGGTGGCAAGTGCGTTTGCGTGAGTCCGTGCCATTGGGGGAAGGAAAACCTGCTGGTGTAAACGCGGCGTGTCATGGTGGATAGACAGGGCGGACAGAGGTGGGCAGTTACGGTTGTTTTTGGAACCTAATGAAAAAAACTCCTTCAAGATCGGCGATGTTGGTAGTTTAGTAGGGGCTTGAAAGGCAGATTCCGCCTCCAAGCCTGAGCATTAACTCTTCATTTTGGCCTTGATCCACTCCTTTGCCCCAGGTGACGAATGGAACCAGGCGCACCAGGTGGCGCGGCGGTCGGTTCCGCGACTCATGGGACGTGATCCGGTCGAGACGGGTCGAGCGATCCAAAATCATCTGACATGAGGGATGCAAAGACTGTGGAGATGAGAAGCATTCAGGTGGACATGACCAGTCACGTGACCATAGTTCATGCTTTGTTCATGAGGGATGAGACTGTTTCAGGTGGAAAATTGGAATTTTTTTTGGGTGCACCAAGTCTGGACAATCTCAGAATGAACTTGGAGGTTCAAGTCTCGCGGTCAATGCGTTTTTATTCACCCAAGGCCAATGCCTTTTCACTGTCACTTGTTTCACCCAAGGTTGTTTGCTTATGTTTCAGCTTGCGCACACCAGCGCTGGTGGCCGACTGCGCAATCCTCGTTTTTGGGGGTCCCTTCAGCCAAACGGCAGCACGGGCGATGGTCATACAGGTTCATATGTTCATACATAATCACGAAGGACAGCCAACCGAACCACCATCTCAAGCAAGCTTGCTAGTGTCATCCTACCAGCCCAAGACTTGGCTTGCAGGGCCGGACCGTCATTCCCTTAGGACAGGGCGATGCCCCCATGGTGTGCGTCAGTGGAGTTGTGGGAGCTACCGCCCAATGAATTGGTGTTGTGGTTGTTAGATGCTTTTAGTCCGGGCAGCAGCTAGGACAACCTTGGATGCACTCGGATGCACCGCTTGAAATTTCTGAAACCAACTTCTGCAACTTGAAGCGCAACACTTTGACAACTGATTGGTCAGAATTTCAAGTGGGGGGTATTGCTTTGTTCCACTGTGGCGCAGGAGTTGGGATCCACTCCAACTCATCAACTTGGAGAGTGAACAATGTGCTTCCATGCCAGAGTGAATCAAAGAAGTATGTTTGTCTCTCTTCAAGTTTGGAGACTAGTTTTGCCAGGTGCCCGTGCTCAAGTACCAATTCTTCGAACTATGGGCGCCTATAGGTGTGCAGCCTATCGGTGTGAGCGTTGGGGTCTGTGAGAACCAGCTTGGACATGCACAGGGAACATGGATTAAAAGGAAGGGGTGGTGTAATGGTGTACAACGTGTTTTTTTCATTTTTTTGTATGATATTTATAAACAACTAATCCACTTGAAACAGTAAAATGCATAATGCATAATGCATGTATGGCAATATCACATCACATATGTATATATATATATAGCAATAATCCATTTCAAAGACCGCTGGATCTCATGTCTTCGCCCGTGTCGGTCATCTTCTGCGGATCCGTTCTCCCGGCGCGACGCGCGGAGATCTCAGTCACCCCAGCGCCCCGTGGTGCCAGTCGGATTGCTCAGGGCGCATGATTGGGGACTACCTCTCACAAATGGCCAGAATACATCCGGTGGAAGAGGATCATTAGGATCACCTCCAGCAAGAGGATCCTTGCACTTAACATTGAGACATACAACCATGCAACATGGTTGTCCCATCGACCCGCAATTGTAACGCAGTCAGTCAGCCAGTTCGTTGGTCTTTAAGACATTCTAGGGTTTTGTATGGTGCTCCGTGCCTCCGACCCCAATATATAGGTAATTTGGACCGTTTGGACCTTGTAATCCTTGCCCAGAGATATAACTAATTTGGTATTGTCACTTCGTTCGACCATGACTTGTATGCAGCCCGATTGTGGTGAACAGTCGTCTTTCAACGTTTGGTCACTTGATTTGAAGTTCTGTTTCCCGCTCGTGAATTATGATTCTGGATGTTGCTTTGGTCCTTGAAGCAGTGCAGCAACACCAGCAACACCCCGACCCCTTGCCAGCACATCCACGTGTCACGTGGCGGGTCGCGGTCGCGATCCAATCAGCGCATCATGACAGCCCTCGGTGTCGTCACCAAGTCCGGCCTCTTGAATGGTATTTGGTATGCCCGGTACACTGGTATGCCCGTTCGATCCGGTGGCAGGTCCTGATTTCAACCTGTCCGGCGTCTCAGAGGGTCCGGCTGTCAGGCCCGGAAAGCCCCGAAACAGGCTCCGGCCAGCGGAGCTGGCGCCCCGCGGTAGGCGGAGCGGCTCAAAGACACGCGTGAACGGCGAAGTCGGAGTGTTTGGGGAGGACTGAGACTTGGCGAAAAATGCGGTGAAACTAGAGTTTCAGTACTCAGTACTCTTTGTGAAAGAGTGGCAGCAGCAACTGCATTTGCAACAAAAATCAGAGCATTTTATTACAACACTCTGCATGGACCAAGGCCAATTGTGATGAAGGCTAGCACCTCAACACGGTATTGTAGCCTTTGCCATTTGTAGGAGGTCTATCACATGTCAAATGGCTTCATGAAACCAGGTCTACATCTACATTAGGTTTCGATTCAATACGTACTTTGTCAATGTTTGGCACAACATGGGGCCTCCACAAACACATCAGGCATAGCGGGTCCCCCCAAATTGGGTGGGGGGCATGTCCAGAGTCCTTTGGATGTTGGGTGTGGGCGTCCTTCTTTTCTGTTCGCATACTCCCTGTCTCGTTCACCCCCTGTCTCGTCTTCGACCAAAAATAGTGGTCCAGAAAGACAGGCCGCGCAGGGCATCTCCCTATGGGTCTGTGGAACCCTCCATGCTCGTTTTCGATCGTTTTCTATAATATACACAGGCAGCGAATTGGTTCTTCCGTAGAGCTTTGGATCTGAGGCTGCCTCCCAGCAAGACCCTGGTCCGCGTGCAAAGTTGCGAAGAGAAAACAGAGTGGACAGAGATTGACTGCGAGACCTGACTGGTGCGACAAAAGTATAGGCAGTATACATAGAGGGAATGAGTTCTTTTTTTTACAGATTCCTTTGGATCCAGCCACCCCATCCAGCCACCGCCATTCCTTAGGAAGTGCCAGGTCCAGGTTACAGACTGGCTCCGAAAGGGAGGTCGCCTTTCGGACCACCGGGACGTTCGTGACTCCATGGGCGGCCTGACCCACTTGGGTCTTAACCCATCCTCTGGTCGCTGTCGGGGCTCCGAACCCAACGCGCCGCTGTCGGTTGAAAAACAAGAGACGCCCTCGGGAGCCATGAACGTGGAGACCGGCTTGCCCTTCGCGAGCCTGCCTGGCTTGGGCGAGGATGAGCTACCCGGCTTCAGCGCCGAGGAATGCCCCGAGGAGCGGGGCAGACGGACAGTGTCGGTCGGCCCAGCTACGCCAGCTGGTCCAGAACCACCAGCATGCACAGTGTGCTACTACTTATACCTGGAAGACCAAGAAGTGAATGGGTCAGGTGTGTTTGTATGTGACCTCAGTTTGGCCTCAGGTGTGGTCCCTGCCCTTATTGGTGACAATGGCAACCCCCGTTTTGCGGGTCTCACCCACCTGCCCATCATATCCTGGAGCAGATCAGATTGATTGAAGTGAACGGACAGATGCCAGACACATGGCATTGGCATTGTCATTGTAACGCGTGCCGCTGCTTTTTGAATGCATGCAGCAGTATGTATCCCCATGTGCTTGAGGAAACCTACAGAAAACAATCATATTTGGACTCACTTTGATGGAATCTTCTGAGCCCCGTGCAGATGACAGGAGCTCCCTGACCTCTCCAAACACTTCAGCTTAGCTGCAGAGGTCCTGAAAAGCAACAGGCGGCGCCGGGCTGATGGTTCGCTTCGCGGGTGCTGTTCTCCTGGCTATTTGTTGGATGATGTTGCATAAGAATGCCTAGGATCCATACCAGGAAAACCGGTCCACACACACACCAAACCTATCAAAGGCCTCCAAGCGCAAGACGTGTCGTTGGGGATTGGAAGCTTTGATCATGTCCTATGTGGTTGAGCCATGTTGTACCCGTTCACAAGTTTACTGCAAGATCAGACATTCACAGGAACGCCCTCTCTCTACTCTGTAATATAGAGTCCCGCAAGCCTTGGGGTTTTGGGGTACGACGTTCTACTTGGCCCGTTGGTGTTTAGTTGTCAGCCTCAAGGGGGGTTCATAGTGAATGGACATGTTACGAGTAGATCAGAGTTGGGGCAGTGCACTCGTTTCTTGCTGAATCGCCTTCTCCCGTCCCACCCAGCTCTCCTGCCTTGCAGGAACCTCTACCAGCAGATGCGTACGCAGAAGACCCCGGGCGGCGTTTCTTTCGCCAAGTGCCGCTTGGTGAAGATGAGATGCTCTACACCGTGCCGCCGTGGGCCTCGTCGATGGCAAAGGCCCTTCTCCTCTACAAACTGGGAGTGCTATCCACTTCCATGTTTGTTGCAGGGAGGGTGTGCAGATGTGCACCAAGAATGCAACGACTACAAAAAACATCATTATGAAATGACCTTGGTTCAGCGAGGCTGGTCGCCTTGACATGCATGGTTGATTTTCCGGACATATTGACATATTATAAAATATGTGAAATATGCAATCGTAATGTCATCGTACCCTAAACAAAACGGACGTTTGATCCTTTTTGTTTGCTACTACTATTCTACTTGTTTCATAATGAAATATTTCATGGCACAGCCCATTCTCATACCGATCCCACTTCTTTCATGAGGGTTTATGTATATATATCCTAGGGTGTGACCTGGCAGGTGATACCCTTACAAAATAGACCAGAAAAAACTACAAAAACCTGTTGATGCCACCTTGAGTTTTCTGTCTTTTGTTGTCTCTTTTTTTCTCATGAAACAATCAGTGATTATAATGTCTTTGGCTACCGCATGTACAGTAGTTTTGTAAACAATCTATCAAGACAAAATGGCAAACACACTAACAATATGCAGTAGATGTAAAAATAAAAGAATGAGCAGTAATCATAAGCTTTTGACTTGCTAGTCCATGCTAGTCCCGATCCCAATCTCATCTAGCAAGCAAGTCCCCCTTGCAGCGGTGCTGCTGAGAAGCCTTGTGATGCTCAGGCATCAAGACGGGCATCGACAACAGGGGCCATCCAATGATCAAGGCGGTAGGTGCACCGCCACCGTTCCGGTCGGCCCGTTCGGGTCGGACGGTGGTCGGACGACTGGTCGCCCCCTTCGGGTCGGACGACAGATCATGGGCGTCCGTTCGGTGGGAGGACGCTGGTCATTCTTTGGCAGAAATCGACCTTCTTTGATCTTCTGTGGCAGAAATCGACCTCTTTTCTAGAAAGAGGCTATGGAACATCATGGAACACATGTCTCATGACGTGTGGACATGTGTGGACCCCCAAGGCGTGGTCAAGCCAAGCCTGTTTGCAGTCTTCTTTCCTTTTGTTAAGGCTTCAGAGGTTCGAAAGAGGTTCGAGACTCCATCAGCAATCAACCAGAATTCCCAGGGCCTAGTCTTTTGATGCAGCCATGGGGGCCCCTAAAACGTTTGGGCGACTCCTCCCCCCAGCAAAACCATTTCTTCGTCAGGTGCTGTGGCCGGCGATGCGGATTGCCGCTTGGTGCCATCGGTGCCATCAGGTGTTGCTGATGTGCTCCGCAAAAAAAGGGCCACATGGAAGTGGAAAGCCACCACCTGTTTGTAGGGGACAATGGTCATCCAACTGGCCGGCGGCCATCCACCTCAATATAATTGTTAGTTTCAGATGGGATGTCATCTATTCCATGTTGTGATGTTTGGAGGGCTATCTTTGGGTGCCCATGGTCCACTCATTGAGGCCATTTGCAGCCAAATCCTGCCCTTTTCCGATGTGGAACTGCAGATCGGTCACTTTTGGTGGAAGGTCCCTGATAGCCTGTGAATACAGGGGTGCTTCATAAGGTGAACTGTCAAATCTTCAAGTGTTTTTCCACCCCTGCGCAGCGTTCAAATCCAGGACAGCCATGGGCCCTCCGCCCATGAGCCGGGGGTTTGCTGTGTGTGTGTGCTTTTTGGTCCTTTTTCGTCGCGGCCGGGGCTGAGGCTTCGAGACCTTCAAGCCCTTCTTTGACCAGGTCTTGGTGATGTGCCATGGCGAGGCGTGACGAAGAGAGCCACGCAATTCGGATAACCAGACACGAGACGTCCGTGAGGTCCTGGGTATCGGGAGGAAGCATAGGATGGAAGATAGAATGGACTAGGGAGCAAGTCTTAGATTTAGATCATACATGATCATACATCATCATATTATATAGATCTTTTTTTGTCGTGCACCCGCACCTGTGAGGCCCCAGAATTTGATTCAAGAGTGTTGAGTCTTGAGGGATGATGTAAATCTTCTGGCACTCCTTGCCAGGAGAGTCTGAGCCGGGCACATGCCTCCTGCCCGCCACGCAGCATGGCTTTGGCATTGGAACTGCCACCGGAGCAGGTGGTGGCCTGTCATTTGCGTATCTCCAGGACTGAGTCCGTGCTGAGTCCGTGGTCAGCAGTTGGACAGAACACGAAAAGAAGAGCAGCAGGAAAGTGGAGAAGGACAATTCCCCCCGTACGTCCGATTCCCGACTGCGTGTTGAGCCTTTCGAAGGCCGTTTGTAGTAGAGAACATTTGCACCGTGCATCGGAACTGGCATGACCCATCGGATCTCATCCAACATCACAATATATCATTATTCACTCGAATGATGGCAATATGATATAATATGATCATCCATTCATATTCTTGAATGTTGCATTAAGTGTTAAACCCACCATCCTACAATTGCTTTCTAAGAGGGGAAGGGTGATTGGTGGGGCGGCGGCCGCCGATGCTTTTCCATCGGGCTCCCTACTTCAAAAATGGCTAAAACACAGGTAAATCATAGCCACGAAACCTCAGTAGGTGCAAGCTGAGGACCTCATCAGGCTTCTGAAGAATTGTGCCAGATCTGTGCAGCAAATTAGGCGTCTCAGAGAACTGAGTGACAGAATGTGGAACGGATGAATTACCCGGCTTCTCCAGGAACCTCAAAGACTTCCCCTTTGCGCCGCAGATGCAGCGTGCTCAGCGCTCGGAGGCGCGGATGTAGGGCCGACCATGGGGTTTCAACCAGGTGAAACTATGCAAAACCCACGAGAAACACGGAATTCGGTGAACCTGAACCGTTCTCAGGGAAAGAACTGAAGAACTCCAGCCAGGCTGTAAGAAACTGATCCTGTGGCGGCTGTAGACTGGGGAGGGGAGACAGGGGGTGTTTGGGATCGCGTGACCCGTGTTTTTGCGCCCCAGGTGGAGCAACGGATCGTGTCCACGCTGCTGGCCAGGGGTGGCAGCTACTTCCCCTTGGTCGGGTCGCGAAGTTCCTTGGTGAACGTGGAGGGTACAGCAGGCCGGCAGCACTGGGCTTAAACGAAGGGACAGACTCATCCAAGTTGCTTCCCAGATGAAGTCCGCTTTGTGGCTTTGTGGGCTCCTGTGGTTTCCAATGGTTCTGTTCTTTTCCGCGACATGTCAAAAAATCACACAATGGCTCAGCGGCTCAGCTCCTTTCCTCACTCAAATCGACGGCCCAACGGTTGGGCCAACGGTGACCGGGTGTTTCGAACGGTGGCCGATGTCAGGTCGTCCAAGTCCAGTCCAGACCCTGAGAGTCAAAGACTATATAAAGAAGGGTCTTTAGGTGACCCGAAAAGGAATATCCTTTACTTCAGCCGGTCCAGAAATTGTCTTTGGACTTCTAGGGCGGTATATCATATAGTAATATAGTAATAAGTCTAAGAAAACCCTGAAGACGAAGCCTCACACTCTTCCATCAGCCCATCAGCCCAGGTTACGCGGCCAAACCAAATGGCATGGATTTGTATGAGGCGCACGTGTCACAATGTCAGTACTTGAATCCTTCAGTGGTACTTGTAGGCATCATGCCCCAGACATCAAGGCAGGTACTTTGTAGGCATCAATCATAAAAGCCCAGCTCTGGCTTTGGCTCCGGTTGTGACGCTCCCAAGCAATCAAAGGAAGCATATCGAAGCCAAATGTTTACTGTATAAGTGTTTGGGTTGGAACACCCTTCCCCTGAGAGGAGAAGATGCTATTGGACTCGAACCTCCTCTTCCGTGAGCCTGACAGTCCGGCAGTGCTCTCCAGTGGCACGGGCCGCCATTGGCCCGATGGCCGCGGGGTCTTCGTCTTCGCCACCGGCGTGTCTGCATGGATCAACGAGGAGGATCACTTCCGGCTGATGTTGGCATCTTGGATGGAGGGCGACCAGGAGGACGGTGAGATTACGGAAGCAGGGACTTGGAGAAATAGATGGAGACATGGGGATATCATGGGATCAGCTTTGTATGCATTTGAGTGGGTGCGATCTGGCCGATGAACGTCTTAAATGTGTGTATACACAGTATGCTTTTTGGTGATTTTCTTGTCGTACCTGCAATTATGTAGAAGAACTCGGACTTTGCGAAAGTGGCTCGCGTGGGAAGAAGCAACACGGAACAATTATTTGGAACTATTTGGCAGTATCAATTCTACGCTTCACCGGAGAACCAAACTTCAAGCAACCAGTTTGCAACATACCTGCGCTGTTTCTAGAATCGAGTCAAGAATCATCAAGAGCACTTGGAGGACCTTCCTGCACCACAAGCCACATTGTTTGAGGTTCTTGTTGTTCTTTTGGCTCCAGCCAATTTTTTACAATTTTTTTTCCCTACCCTCTTGTCTTTCTCTGCACTTGCTTGTAGCAGAAACATCCTATGGGTTGTTCCCTGCAAAAGGCGCTCCTTTTCAACGCTTCGTCTTAAGCCCTCCCATCGGATGAGGATCGGAAGGATGGCAACCTGAAGCAGGCCTTGACTGATGCAGATGCAGTGCCTAGGTGGAGATGGCCGGGCTGGTTTGCAATCGAATTGCCAGCTGTTGAATGCTACGGTTTGCAATTCGAATCGCCGTGGTGGTCCTTTTTTTGGGAGCCAACGGTGATGTGACAGATTACAATTTGGCGCAGTTTTTTTCAGCTTCTTCCGACGCCGCCTCTCTCCAAAGTGCGACTCTGTGAGCAACTCTTTTGGTGCATGTTCGCGCTCCTGACGCAGTCTTCATGTCATGGGCTGCTTCGAAACATAGAGTCTACAGAACCTATATGCAATGGCCAACAATGGTCAACATATGTGGTTCATGAAATTGGAGCTCGCACAGACCTACCAAACAAAACGGCCAAGGGGGTGACTCTGTTACTAGTTTATCTCTTTATGGGGCCCACAGGGACTAAGATTAGGTTCATCTCCAGGATACCAGGCATAAACAGAAACGGACAGACACGGTTCAGGGACATAATTATTTGGGCTTGTCTTACTACCTGCAACAGTCAGTGAACACTTATCATCAATGATAACTCTTTTAGAGAAAGGCCAACTGAACCATCATCATCCACTGAGGCGCTGGTAGACTCGGATAGACCCAAGACATATGTCTTCCCTCCAGTTCGACTGGACGAGTCCTCTCGCCCTCTCGCTCGGTCACCGAGGTCCTTGGAGTGCTGGAGTCGGTGCATGGCTTTGCTCAGTCTGAGCGCTTGGGAGACTTGGCCGATGTCAGCGCTTGGAGGTTCTCTCGGCAATGTGGGTGTAGGAAACAGGGAGACCCCCCGGCCTAGTGGGTTTTTGGTTGGTTTCCCTGTTGATTCCCTTCTTCCCATTCGAAGAGGGAGGTCTCCCTAGTCCAATACACGCCCAGGTGGCTTCCAAGGTATGGCCCACATGTTTTCAGAGGTCCTTTCTGTCATTTTGTGAGCATCCTGACATATATAACCCTTTAAAGTCCAAGTTCAAGCGTCGTGCTCAGTACTCTGTGCTATCCATACAAGTCGGAAACTCACCAAGCTGGACCGACAGCTAAGGATATTTGACCTCTTCTCCCATGAACGTGGGCGTAGCGATGCGGCTCGGCTGCCGTGTGGGACAAGACCTGAAGAGATGGACTAAGGTGAGCTGAGCTCTGGCGGCAGACCTTCCACCGTAGGATGTAAACATGGGATGTGTCAAGGAGCTGCCACCAACGAGCAGGCGTCCCTGACACATCCTGACACCAAAAGACATAGAAAAGAAAGAAACATAAAGAAACAAGGTGCATTTGCGACGGGAACTTTAAGTGAACTGGATTAGCGCACCCCAATCAGATTCATATGAGCAACCGCCAAAACGTGCAACCACTAACTAAGTAAAGAGCGGTCATGAGCGGTCATGATTTCAGGGGAGCTGTGCTGAAACCAGCAAAAGCGTCAAAAGCGACAGCGATAAACTTGCTGAATCATATCCTCCATACTTGACAGTACATTTTTGCAGACGCTCACATGCATGCAGACAGACACCAAATATCCGCAAAGACTCAGCCGCTCTAGGCCCCTTGCAATCCACAGCCTTTGATCCTGCAGTTTTGGAGTACGGCCCTCGTGTAGGAGGTTGAGGAAGTGTCACACTTGTTCAGTTTTTTCTCAAGATAGATAGCAACCCTCTCTAAATTCTTGTTTCCTTGCACCTTCACAACCAAGCGAGAAAGAGGTGCCACCCGGTCAGGCCCGGCACCATTCCGCACCGGTGGAACGTCGATTTATCCCTCTAATTCCTACGGAGACGCCCCGTTCCGATCTGAGGGATGCCAGCTTTGAACTGAGACTTCCAGAGTTGATGTCAGCGCCTCCTGGCCCGAACTGGAGAGAATGCTGATCGAAATGCTGCGACATTGGGGATGGGGAGCTTCTGAAGGGAGGAGTGCGATCTGCAACTGACATGTTGCACCTGGCAGTTCAGGTTTAAGAGGCTAGAACCAACATCCATCTATAGAACCCATTGATTGAGGGCATCCCTAGTTCAAACACGCACCCCCCCACACACACATCCATATGCCAACCAAAAATCCTTTCAGGAGTTCCCATCCGCTTGTTCTCTAAGTTCCAGCTTCCAATCCGCAAGCTCCTCCGCATGTGCCCAAGAGAAACCACTTTCCGGAACTTCCTTCTTCTCTTGGACTGCCTTCAAAAGACCACGCGCTCGTGGGCCTAGGAAGAAGGAGCTCGTGGAGTGGTGCAAGGCCCGCGACCTCATCGCGCCTTTCGGCGGGATCGAGCGTCCGGGAGAGAGATGGGGAGCGGGAGCGAGCGGCTTGGGCGGGAAGAGGTGGGGGGAGTGGTGAAATTCTGCCACTGAGTGTGGTGAAATTCCAACAAATCGACAGGGTCCACTTCAAGATTCACGAAACAGCTTCCAAGAAAGGAACGGATCCCCATCTTTCTCAAGAACTTGGTTTCAGGGACACTTCATGGAACATGGACACATCAGGACACCCTTAGGTTTGGGTGAACTCCTGAGTTTCCTGTCTAGATGTTCCCTTCAAACCGAAACCGTTGGCTTCCGGGAGTCGACGCCGTCTGACCGCCGCCACCGAGGCGTGCGGTCCTGGACGAGCAAGGCCTCCGCGTCGAGGGGCTCTTGGAGGTCTCCCACCGGCGTCGGATCGGCATCCGCCCGGAGGACCGGGCCGGTCGGGTGTCGCAGGTCGGTGCATCTCAGAGGTGTGGCATCAAAGAGCAAAGGATTCAGCTTGTAGATGTGCGTGGGTCTTGGGGAAATCAGACTTGAAGCGTGTGTGCTGAAGAACCTGCTTCAGGAGGTGGTGGCTGAATTGGTGCAGGAGGCCAGCTGTGCTGTGCACCCTGGGCACATCAATTTCTTTTGATCCATGTTGCAAGTTGCATATGCTTTTGGGTAGAAGCATGTTTGCTTAAGAGAACGGGCCAAGATTGATGATACACAATCATACATTTATGTCAACATAAATTATGTAATGATATGACATGTCATGCTTTACATCCTCCAGAACTTTCTCCGCTCCTCTCGGACATCGGACGCGGAAGCGCGTTCCGCACGCACCGTGCCGGCGTTCCGCGAGGCGGCCTTCCTGTGCCGTGCCGAACGTCTGGCTGCTGGAGGGTTAAGTGGTGCGGAGGCGTTGGGCGCCATACAGCCTCGGGAGCTGACGCCCATCGGCGCCCTGGGCGGCGCATTGAGAATGATCATCCCCTCAACGAAATCGAATGCAAGCGCACACATGTAAATAGGTATATATTTGTATATATATATACGTATGTATGTATGTATGTATGTATGTAATGTAATGTAATGTAATGTTGTAATGTAATGTAATGTAATGTAATGTCATGTCATGTCATGTCATGTCATGTCATGTAATGTAATGTATGTATGTATGTATGTATATGTACATAGGTGCCATAAATAAATAAATACATATATATATATAATATGTACATGTGTGTGTGAGACATGACATGATGACATGAAATACTATTCAAAATTCCCTTTGCCACTGGTTTGAGAGTGACGCGAGGCTTTTGAGATGCAATTAAGAAATTTCAAGCAGAACTCGGGATGCTCATCAAATTATATATACTGTACATCAATTTTGAAGATCCAAGATTGTACGCTTTTTGATCCACAGGCAGGAAACACGAGAGGATGGTCGACAGATTGAGCCCATGCATTCTTTCGTGCGCACAGACTGTGGGCGGCACAATGCTACAGTGCTGAGTCTAAGGTGTCGAAGACGAGGAGCTGAGCACTTTGAGCGGACGTGCTTGTTGCAACTCTGTCCATTTGCGGGTTTGTCAAGAAGCTTGGACCCCAAAAATCATGGTATTGGTATGAATCGGCGCAGATTTGCGGATCCTGTTCACTTCTTTAGGTCTTGTTGAGGGATATCGGGGTGCGGTGCTGATGCACAGACCTGTGTTGTGAAACCATGCTTTGCACCGCCACCCACTCGGAGGAGGCGTTGGCCCAAGATGCCTGGGACATGTCTGGCGGGCATATTGGCGTGCCTTGGAGAGGTTAACCATGGCAGAGGTGTTTGGCAGTTTAGCAGTTGACCAAGAGGCGTGCAAGAGCGATTGGCGTTTCCACCAAGTGTCGAATGGCCATGGATGGCTCACAGATTCCCACTTGGCCATACATGAGTCCTCACATCCTTCGCATGGAACTCTTTCGGAGCCGCGGCATCTTGGGTGGACTGAGACCAACCAGTGTATGCTTCTGCAATGCCAGGATCTTTCCACAACAATGGTCATTCAGTAGAATCCCAGCAAGCCCACGCCTTTGTAAAACAACAATAATTGCATTTGTTCTACGCTGTGGGAAGGAACAAGTCTACATAAAGACCTATGCCACTCTTTATTACAAGTATTGATTACAGTATCATTTGTTGGGGCGGTATTTGCTCAGGTGCGCCTACTTGAGCCCTGAGCAATACAGCATGGAAACCGAAGCAAAACATGCATAATGTTGATCAACAACCCCCCTACCAGAATTGTTCTACATTACGGGGGGTTTTATTGATTGACAGTCTACATTGTCTACATCACCCACCACTTGAGGGGTCTTCCCAAATCCTCCTTCGCGCTCCAGATGCTCATCTCCAACGCCATGATTATGGAGGAAGTGGAAGCGGCCAAGGCACAGCAGTGCCGTTGACAAAAGACGCCCGGGCCGAAGCTTTGACAAAGGCCCCGTATAGTGGAGATGTTGTAACCCTCTTCAGTGCATTCATTCCATGTTTAACCCCGGCATGTTTGTTGAAAAAAAACACCCCAGCCCACCGGCTGGGGCGTTTGAAACACGAAATTTACACGAAGATGAAGTGGCGCAATCGACCAACATCAGAGGTGAAGTTGGCGCAATCGCTCATGGCTGGCACCTTGGGAGACCTCCTGACCACGCGTGCCATGCAGTATCAGCAGGACCCGAACGCACGCCGCCACGGAGTATGGGCCGCTGGGAGGATGGAGGGGTGAGGCTTCCGGGGGGGGCACATGGGAAGAGCATGGAAGGCCCCAGACAGGTCCCAGCACCCCACCCGCACTGGGAAGATCACGCAAGCAGCTGCAAGATGCTGCAAGAACTTCTTGAAATGGACGTGCGTTATTGCATCTCTACAGTATGCCTAATGCTTCAAATAGAAGTGTACCTGCTCATGACATGGCCAGAAACCAACATATGACTACGGATATGTTCTCCAAGAAATCATGAGAGGGATGCTACTGCTTGGGCCCCCCCTACCCTATTGACGTGTTGACGATGAGAAGACAAGAAGAGAAGACAGGAAAGACAAGCAACTCTGCCATCTGGACATGCTTTGCCTGCGACGTGCAGTACGGCCTCATACCTACTGGTTGGCTTGCAGGGATTGATGCTATATATCTATATATCTCTCTCTCTCTAAATATATATATATTTAAAGAAATATACATATGCATGTACGTACACTGTACACATACAATGCACTGAAATACCGCACGTAATACATTATCATACACGTAAGATACGATAACCCACACCTGTTTACAACCAGGCATGGCACCTGACTGGCTTTCAACAGTGCAAGTAGGAATGTTTTTGGAAGTCCACCTTGTTCCTTGCCACTGTGTCCCTTTTGTTCTCCCTGAATTTGGCGCAGGAGCGGCAGGAGGAGTTTGAGAGACAGAAGGCAGAAGCGGCAGCGAAGATCCAGGCGGGGCTTGGTCAGGGACTAGTTTGTACATCACGTGTGATGCAAGAACCGAGAAATCCTCACTTTCCAACTTGGAAGTTGAACACAGTTTAACTATACGATGATGTATATAAATATCTATTTTCAGTTGGTGGGATAATAAAGTGAGGGATCAAGTTCCAAAGAATCTCACAAAGAAGAGCTGACTAGGGTCTCAGGACCCGTCGAGCTCCCAATGGCACTCGATATCTCTAGATGGCTGGGACATGTTGGCATCGGACGTGAGGACACGGAGGAAGATGTGCAGGAAATCCTTGGACATTGAACTCCCTTGCGAGATTCTCTTTTGGGAACATGTCCTGCGAGAAGTTCTTTGTTTGGGATGGAGGAACTTTCATTTCCTGCAGCCAGGCCATCCAGAGGGGCCGCCAAGAACGTGCAAAGGCAAAGCCGAAGCCAAAGAAGCAGCAGCAATTCACCAAGGAGGAACTGCCCCAATTCTTCGCAGCGGCCAAACGACCGCGCGGGCTGGTGATTGGATTGGAGGTGGTATTGGTCCATTGGTCTGAATAATTCCAACGGGGCAATATTTACAAGATATGGAACGAACTTCCTTTGCTACAGCCACGCTGTCCGGCTGTGTGCTTGCAAAGCCAGCTTGGCAACAGGATTGAAAGTGCCGTGGTTCTTAGAAGACCTCTCTGTCTCTACCTTCACAGGATCCATGTGGAGAACACGTGTGCCAATTGTTGTTCTTTTGGTGGTATTAGTGCTGGAAGACAGCAATTCCTCTATCTTCTCCAAGAACCCATGCAAACAAATGCACGAATCACTGGACCCCTATGACTGACCGCCATTCCCAAGCATTTATATAAGTCGTGGATGAGTGGCTCCCTGTCACCTCTACCACGTGGCTCCCGCCACAGCTCCTCAGCTCTCAGCTCTAGGAGCTGGAAGAACGCAAGAGCCTCTTGCGCGATGCCCTCGAGGTGGCGCTGAACGATGGGACCTTGGAGCCTTGGTCCGGAGGCGGTGAAATCTGGGAAGGAGTCCTTAGCTCCTAAACTCTTCATGAAATAAAAGCCTCCATGTGGAAGAAACTTCACATGGTTTTGCAATCCATGTCTCGTTTTGTTGTAAAAGAATACATCAAGAGTATATCAAGAGTCAACATTATTTTGTACTGGTAGAGTGCACCCAGGCCTAATGGGGAGCCGTGGGGGTCCGAGTAGTTTTCTCCTGTCTACGCGCGGGAGTCCACCTGTCTATCTCTACGAGGTGACTGGTTTCCGTTCCAGAGCTAAAGCAATACACCTTGGGTCTGTCTATTGCCTGTAACAGTCAGTAAACAATTGTATATCACTGAATTTTGAACAAGGCCTGCAGCTGAACCATCATCGTCCACGGTTGCGGGTAATGGGATAGACCCAAAATACATCTTTCAAACACTTGATTTGGTGGTGACTTTGTTCCTCCCTCGGGCTCTTTGGAGATAGGCACGAGGCCACTCGTCAATGACCATGGGGCTGTTTTGTATGCTTGCTCTTTAAACGAGGTTTATTGTCAATGAATGGGAATCCTATGGACTCTCGATTTTTGCGCTTTTTGTAGATATGGGATGAATTGGGTTGATGATTTGTTCCGTCACAGCCTGTCACATCACTGGTCACCTGCCTTTGCAAACCAAGCCACCGATGATGACCGATGTTCTGAATGGCAGTCCAGGCTCGGAGCACCTCTTGTCCTGTCATCTGTAGGCCCCGGTGCCACGGTGCCACGGGAGCGCCGAGCCGGTTTAGGGCAGATCCAGGGATGCACATGGAACCTGGACCTTTGGAAGACGCTACAACCACAACCCAGTGGTTTTCAGGTTCCAGTGTGTATTAACCTCGGCCTACCAGAAGCTTAACCTCGGCATGCTTGTCACGAAGGCATAGGAATCATAGGAAGGCCCTCTGTGAGATTGCTGGATGCTAAATGTAAGGGTCGTATTTCCCCCATCTCGTTGAATTGAAGATATTGCTTGGTGGCCTTAGAGAATCAATTCTAGACTCTAAAGAAAGGATGCTTTGGGTGGAAG